GAAACAGTGGGCAACATGTGGGGGACTTGGTCTGCACTACTGCATAATGGCAGTGGGCAACCCTCACCAGGTGGAGGAGAAAGGCACCTTGACGCAAAGCCCATAGTCATAGCTACCTTCCACCCAGGTACATACGCTGTCCCTCAGCAAATTCATTAAGTAAGTACTAATGGTCTCAATTTACTAAAAAGAAAATTGGGCTCAAATTGATCACACAGTAGAAAATGTCAGTACCAACTTGTTTTTAGTAATAGCTATGGTTTTGATTTGTTTTAAATTTCTGATTATAAAAGTATTACATAGATGCTGAAAAGGCTAAAAAGAAGAAAATCAACCACAGAGACAGCTCACCTTTAACATGGTGTATTGCAGGTCAAGCATTTTTTCATGAATGGGCTATATGTTTTTTTAAAAAACAATGTTGAGGGCTTCCCTGGTGCCTCAGTGGTAAAGAATCCTCCTGCCAATGCAGGAGACACGAGTTGGATCCCTGATCCAGGAAGATCCCACATGCCGTGGAGCAACATAGCATCTTGGCCACAACTATTGAGCCTGTGCTCTAGAGCCCGGGAACCACAACTTCTAAAACGTGTGTGCCTAGAGCCTGTGCTCTGCAACAAGAGAAGCCACCGCAATGAGACGCCCCCGTTCACTGCAACTAGAGAAAAGCCTGAGCAGCAACAAAGATCCAGCACAGCCAACAATAAATAAATAAATTTTTAAAAAAAGTTGAAATCACATTCCGCATGCTCTTAATAATACATTGGAATTGCTTTCCTATGTCCCCAAATTTTCGTGGACGTGATTTTGATTGGCTCTATATTATTGTCACTTGGATTATCCAATTCTATTCAGTTAATTATCCAGTTCTATTTTGTATGGCATTACAGTACATAAAATTTGGGGATCAGAAGTGTTTCAAAAGTCCCAATTTTTCATGGTTACATGGTATATATACCATATATTACATATTTTCTCCAATGGGATCTAGAACTACATCCTCAAATCAACACTAACATTTTGGCCACAAACCTAAGTACGTATTCACATTAAGTGGACAAAAGATAAAGGGAACAAAATAGGCTTTTCTCGGTTCAGGCCAGGTTTTGCAATCGAACGAGTTTGTGTTAAATTCACCAAAAAGCCTCTAATTTTCAGAGCTTTTTGGATTTCAGAATTGTGCACCTGTATTAGAATTGAAGCCGGCTGGTCCCACAGCATGGGCATGTTTCCCAACAGCTGTGACATTCTAGAATGGCAGCAGGATGAAAGGCATAGCCATAAGGCAAGGTTCTGGAGGCTAAAGAAGCGAAAAGGTGGTGGTGGGTTTCCTGGATCAGGGAGGGCTGCAGGCCTGGAGGTAGAAGCAGGATCCTGAGGATCCTGTAGAGGAGTGCCTGGGGGAGGAGGCCTGGGTGACTGACATCAGAGAGGCCTTGGCACGGAGGCAAGGTGCAAACTGTCACAGAGTGCAGGTCCAGAGCCCCTCGATACATATCTCATCCACCTACCCCCAGAGGCTCTACATGTCAGTGATAAGACCGCAAAGGAGGCCCCTGGGTCTCCTGAGACTCTGGGAGGGAGGAAAGAAGGGTGGAAGGCCCAGAAGCAGAGGCTGTGGGAGAAGCAGCCCTAGCTTGTTGATCTGACAGAGACCGAGGGCAGCGGGCCCCGTTTTCCTTCCTGTGCTGGTGTCAAGTGTGGTTTGCTGTCAAGTGGTAGCAGGTTTAGCCACAGTCAAGGCAGGTAGCGGGGAGAGGCCCTCCGAGAGTGAGAGCAAGAGGCCCTGAATCTCACAGGTTATTTGCTAGAGCTCCTTTCAGCAGGGGAGCAGAATGAATGGTGGGGACTAGGGTTCTGGGTGGTGCAAGGCATGCTGGGAAATGTGGTTTTAATTGGCAGTTGGGCAGTTTAGCCACAAGCAGGGGGCAGGGCGGGGTCGACAGAGTCGGGTGGGGGAGCTCAGGGAGGCAGGGTGGAGTGATCTTTCTTTTTTCCTCACCCCATCAAACCAGAGGAAGCCTGACCTATCTGACCAACTGTTATCAGGCTGGCAATGAGTTCAGGAGTTGGGTATAGAGCCTTCACCACTCTGAAGGAGTCTCTTCCTCTCCATTGCTTCTTGCCATAGTTACCAATGTCAGTCACACCAGTGAGGCAATTCCCACACACATTTTGCAAATTCCCTCCTATAGGACTCTCCTCTCCTCTGCCAGGTTATCATCACTACCTTACTGGGGAGCAAGAATACTGGAGTGGGTTGCCATTTCCTTCTGCATTTCACTAATGATCACCTCCTCAAAACCTGTCCCAATTAATCCTCCCCTATCCAGTATACTACCTCTACTTATGTAAAATGCCTCTAATTCCTCTGGAAGTCAGATTCCCATGTAACAGAATTACCCAAACACAGAAGAAAGCTGTCTCCAAGCCCAGACACATCATTCATGGGAGAAGCTGAGTACTCTGGGCCTCTGCCTAGAGTAATCAATCATAAATATTTACAGCTCTGAGAACAGAGGTGATAGCAGAGAGAGTAAGAAAAAAAGATAGACATGAATGTATAAGGACAGGCGCTTCTAAGTGCCTTTTAGTTCTCTCTGGTAACATCACCTTGCCTTTTCAAAAATATTTACTTATTTATTTTTGCCTTTGCTGGGTCTTCATTGCTTCATTTCTCTAGTTGCAGCGAATAGGGGCTACTCTCTAGTTGTGGTGTGAGGGCTTCTCTTGTGGATCACGTGCTCTAGGGCCTGCGGGCTTCAGTAGTTGCATTGAGTGGACTAGGTAGTTGTGGCTCTCAGGCTCTAGATCACAGGATCAATAGCACAGCTCTGTGGCATGTGGGATATTCCCAGTCAAGGATTGAACCTGTGTCTCCTGCATTGGCAGGTGGATTCTTTACCACTGAGCCACCAGGGAAGCCCTCACCTTGCTTTTTACTATAGATCAGACAACTCTGCATGGGTCTATCAACCCATGAAAGCTCCTCTGTATCACAGTGAACCTCAGTCATTGATGCCCATAAGAAGGCTCTAAGCCATCAAGAACAGAGTAACATATAAAGGATTTTGAAGTGAAGCAAAGTCACTCAGTCGTGTCCAACTCTTTGCGACCCCATGGACTGTAGCCTACAAGGCTCCTTTGTCCATGGAATTTTCCAGGCAAGAGTACTGAAGTGGGTTGCCATTTCCTTCTCCAGGGGATCTTCCAGCTCAGTAATTAAAAGACAAAAATCCAATTATAAAATGGGCAAAGGATATGAACATACATTTCTCCAGAAGATAAACAAATGTGCGATAAGCACGAGAAGACATTCAACATTATTTGTCATCAGGGAAATGTAACTCATAACCACAATCAGATACCACTTCACACCCACAAAGATGGCTGAAATGAAAAAAGACAAATAACAAGTACTGGCAAAGATGGAGAGAAATCAGGACCCTTACACACCACTGATGGGAATGTAAACTAATGCATAAACTTTGGAAAGCAGTTTGACAGCTCATCATAGAGTTAGCATAAGTAAGTGAAAGTCCCTCAGTCGTGTCCGACTCTTTGCAACCCCATGGATTATACAGTCCATGGAATTCTCTAGGCCAGAATACTGGAGTAGGTAGCCTTTCCCTTCTCCAGGGGATCTTCCCAACCTAGGGATCGAACCCAGGTCTCCCATATTGCAGGCAGATTCTTTACCAACTGAGCTATCAGGGAAATCAGCTATTTCATTCCTAGGGACTCCCCCAGAGTGCAAACATATGTCCACAATAAAACCTTCATACAAATATTCATCACAGCATTGTTCATGATAGCCAATAAATGGGAACAACCCAAATATCCACTGAGGGATAAATGAATAAACAAAATACAATATATCCACACAATGAAATGCTGTGTTCTGTGTTCACTCAGTCACATCTGACTCTTTGTTTCTCCATGAACTCTAGCCGATCAGACTCTTCTGCCCATAGAATTGCCAAGCAAGAATACTGGAGTGGGGTGCCATTTCCTGCTCCACAGGACTTTCCCAACCCAGGGATCAAACACAAGTCTCCTGTGTCTCCTGCATTGGTAGGCAGATTCTTTACCACTAGAGCCACTTGGGAAGCCCCCAATGCAATGCTACTCAGCCATAAAAAAGAATGAAGTACTGATTCATGCTACAACATGAATGAACCTTGAAAACATTATACAAAGTGAAAGAAGTCAGTCAGGAAAGACCACATATTATGGTTCTTTTTATGTGAAATGACAAGAATAGGCAAATCTATAGAAACAGAAAGATTAGTAGTTACCTAAGTCTGGGGATTTGGGGAAAGTTAAGGAGAGACTGCTAATGGGTATAGAGTTTCCTTTTGAAATGATGACAGTGTCCTAAAATGGTTTGTGGTAATGGTTGCACAACTCTGTTAGTATGCTTTTAAAAAGACATTGAATCATATATCTAATATGTGTTTAGTATATGAGTGATGCTGGGCTTCCCTGGTGGCTCATTGGTAAAGAGTCTGCATGCCAATGTAGCAGACGCAGGTTGGATCCCTGGGTCAGGAAGATCCCCTGGAGAAGGAAATGGCAACCCAATCCAGTATTCTTCAGTGGGAAACCCCATAGAGAGAAGATGCTGGCGGGCTACAATCAATGGGGTCGCAAAAGAGTCAGACACGACTTAGTGTCTACACAACAAAAATATGAGTCATAGCTCAACAGATCTTTTATATAAAATAAATAAACCTAGAAAAAAACAGAATCTATAGTCTCCATTTTTTGTATAAGAATCTCGTATGACTTAAGAATTTTTTAGGAAATTCCCCGGCAGTCCCATAGTCAGGATTCAGTGTTTTCACTGCCGTGGCCCACGTTCAGTCACCAGTTAGGGAACTAAGATCCTGCAAGCTGCACAGTGGGAAAAAAACCAGAAAAATTAGCCTGGATCTTGTGTGTGCAGATGGCGTCACCTGGAACTTGAGAAGCTACAGGAGGGTATCAGAGGCCTGACAATGGCCAAGAACAAACCAGGAGGGCAGAAGTCCAGGAATGTATTCCATATAGCCAGCCAAAAAACCTTTAAGGTTATAAATAAAGCAAAACCGGTTACCACTAACCTTAAGAAGATAAACATTGTAAACGATGAAAAAGTTAACAGAGTGAATACATCTTTTGTAAACATACAAAAGGAACTTTCAAACTTCTCAGAAGGGCTTTCCCTTGAACCTCTGCAGAAACAGCGGATTTCTCAGCAGTGTCATGAAAACATACTAGTTAATGTTGATGAAGCCACAAGATTAATGCCTCAGTTGTAATACACTGGTAATGCATCAAAAAGATGAATAAATTAAATGTTTTATACAAAAAATCAGAATTAAAAAAATTAATGCTTAAATCGATATTTTTCAGTTATCTGGAAAATACATTTATGTAAAACACCATGTTTCCTGACTACTGCACTCTAAAGCAGATGGGATATAAGAGCAAATATCAACATCTTAAGTCTTGAAAAGATTATACTAAGTGACAGAGTGACATAAAATTTTAACCATACTCTCTTGAATTTGAGCAGAGCTTCCCTTTGTAGCTTTTGAGTGTTTCTTGTGTATATATATATATATGTATATATGTATATGTATAATATATATTTAGCTTTTCAAAGTAAAAAGATTTCAATATTATTGAACTCTCCCTTTAACACCTGTTTATTTTTTAATTTTATTTATTTTTGGCTGTAATGGGTCTTCAATGCTGCATGGGCTTTTTTTCTAGTTGGGAGGAGTAGGAGCTACTCTTCTGGCTTCTTGTTGCAGTGGCCTCTCCTGTCGCAGTCACAGGCTCAAAGGTTCGCCGGCTGAGTAGTTATGGTTCCCAAGATCTAGAGCACAGGCTGAGTGGTTGTGGTGCATGGACTTATTGCTTCACAACATATGGGGTCTTCTCGACCAGGGATCAAACCTACGTCTCCTTCACTGGAAAGCTGATTCTTCACCACTGAGTCACCCTAACACCTGTTTAAATGTTTTTAAATGTTTTAAAGATTTTGAAGTTATAGATTTCTTACTTAAAATACAATTATTTGGGAATTCCCTGGAGGCCCAGTGGTCGGGACTCTGTGCTTCTAATGCTGAGGCCCAGGTTTAATTCCTGGTCGGGGAACTAAGATCCCACAAGAAGATCATGAATATATATTAATGATATTATTATTTTGTGTTAATTATTACATTGTAAGTATAATGTAAAGACAGATATAAGTATACAAATACATATATGTTTATATAACTTAAATCTGTAAATTAATTGTATAATTCAGAACACTTTGGGCAGCTGGTATTCTTTGTTAAAGAGAAAGGGGCCCTCATCCTTTTGAGAGCAGAAATAACTCCCTTCTTCTGTTTGGGAAAAAGAGGATTCTACACCTAGAACTTGGTTCTGTAATAGTCAATATTTGCTGGACTATTTTTGAGGAGTTCTTAGTATCCAAACTCCCTTTCTGTTTAGGGGAACCTTTTCTTGCACGGTCTTGGTAGGAAACAGAGCCATATCCCTTGGAAATTAGAACACAACTGCACAGTCCAGGCTCAACCATCTGAATCTGCACCAAGAACCATGGGTCTGGAGCAAGTGATGTAAAGAAGCTGACTGTTCAGGGGTGGCAGCTGCAGCTCGTGGTATCTGGAGAAGTAGTGGCCACAGCGCCAGGGACAGGGTTCTGCAGCTGCAGTGATGCAGCCTTCCAACCAGGCTGTCCCCGTGGCATGACCATGGCTGTGGTTACAGCTGTCCACCTCTCTCTGGTGCTGCCCATTTGCTCTTCTGGATGGCCAGCCTTCACATTCACATCCACCTTCTATCCTTCCAAGAACTTCGTTCCTGCTCAAGTGAGCCAGAATCAGTTTCTATTGCCTGCAGTCAGGAACTCTAACTCATTTTCCAAATAGGAAAAGAAAATACAGAAAAACTCTGAAAGTTGAAAACGGTGATGGGCAAAGGAGAGAAGCAGGGGCATAGAGGAGACATTGGGGCTTCACTGATAGCTCAGTTGTTAAAGAATATACCTGCAATGCAGGAGACCCCGGTTTGATTCCTGGGTCAGGAAGATCCGCTGGAGAAGGGATAGGCTACCCACTCCAATTTCTTGGGCTTCCCTTGTGGCTCACCTGGTAAAGAATCCGCCTGCAATGCAGGAGACCTGGGTTCAATCCCTGGATTGGGAAGATCCCCTGGAGAAGGGAATGGCAACCCACTACAAAATTCTTTCCTGGAAAATTCCATGAACAGAGGAGCCTGGTGGGCTACAGTTCATGGGGTTGCAAAGAGTCAGACACAACTTAGTGACTAACAACCAACAAGGAGATATTGGGATTTGGAAAAGTAAAATAGGCTTTTTTCTGGAATTAGCATAAAGCAGTGACAGCAACAAGTCTTGTTAGAGTAAGACGTTACCTGTAGCTGTGAGCAAAGCTGCTGAATTCCCAGGGAAACCAGGAATGCAATTCAGTTGGCACAAGTCAAAAATTATAACCCACCATCCTTGAAGGATGTCACTCAAGTGCTGTGCTGAGTTGCTCAGTTGTGCCTAACTCTTTGCAACCCCTTGAACTGTAGCCTGCTAGCCTCCTCTGTCCATGGGGATTCTCTAGGCAAGAATACTGGAGTGGGTAGCCATGCCCTCCTCCAGGGGATCTTCCCAACCCAGGAATTGAACCAGGGTCTCCTGCATTGCAGATGAATTCTTTACCAGCTGAGCTACCCAGGAAGCCCCACTCAAGGAACAGAGTGATAGAATTATTTTCAGAGACAGCAGTGTCTTTTATTCTGAGATGATGTTTTTTGGTGGGTATATGTTAGGATAAGTTAGATCTGGAAACACATAAAAGAACAGGAGTGAAATGTAGGCCCCAAACTTGATAATAATACAGGAAAAACTGAAATATTTGAAACATGTAAAAAAATTCGTGAAATTTTTATAGGTGAAATAATGTGAAACCAAATTTTAAAAATAAGAATTGAGAGAGCTAGTTTATGATTATGTGATAGAAATGTTTATAGTTTAGATTATAATTACTACTTAAGCTATCCTGAAACTACAATTCTATATAAGTTTAATAACTATAATTGGAATTGTTAACAGAAAAGTAATACTTTCTAATATACTCTCTATAGTGGTTTATAGGTTAAATTTGCTAACACTGAATTTAAGGCCATTTCAATGAAATGATACTTTTTTCATCTTAGGATCCCTTCAATCATACAGATTTGCTGAATATAATTAACAGAAGTTTGTAAAAGAAACAGATTCATATAGGCTTTGTTCCGTGTTAGGTTTCAGTAGAAATGAGCTGCTCAGTAGCTGTATGGCTTCTCTGTGCCTCTGTTTCCTCATTTGTTGATTATAATGGTAGCTACTTCATAGAATTGTTCCGAGAAAACTAAATAAATTAATACTGTAAGCTCTCAGAACAAAGCCTGATGTATTTTAAGAACTCAATAAGTGTTAGTTGTTTTTATTATCATTATTAGGTTTTTACTTGAGGGTAAAGTCAGATATACTTTCAATGGCTATGGAAAGGAAAGCAGGTTTGGTCAGCAGTTTAATTGAAATAAGATAACTTAAAAAGCCCAAAAGGTGAAGCACTCTCAAAGGTGACCTAAATTTAGAAAAATAAAAAGAGCAGAAATGTTTGAAGGAGTGTGTGCATATGTGTGCTCAGTTTTGTCTGACTCTGCGACCTCATGGACTCTAGCCCACCAGGCTCCTCTGTCCAGGGAATTTTCCAGGCAAGAGTACTGGAATAGGTGACCATTTCCTTCTCCAGGGGTTAAAAGGATGATCCACAGGAGATAACCTTTCTGCTTAGAAACCCATCACCAACTGCAGATGGCCCCCACGGACGTGCCACCATTATCCTTTTGCCAGCAAAGTCTGTAATGAGTGCAAAATGGTCCACAGGCAGAGGGAGCAAAGGTGTTTAAGAAAAGCCTCTCTGAGTGACTGGTGAGTGGAGAGGATGCAGACATCCTGGGAGGAAACGAAGGAACCCTGTCAGGTAACCCTGGTAAGGAAAACTCAACAACCAAGAGGGTGTTGGGTTGTAGGTCACAAGGACCTAAAGCTGAAGGTGGAAGGAGGGGAGAGATCCAAAAAGGATGTTGCGGTGGGAATTACCACAGCTCCCACAACAGATGCAGGAAATGGAGCAAAACCTCTCCACGTCACAAAAGCGGAGTGGAGGCGGGGAGATGCTGACAGGAGTTCTTCCTCAGGCTGGCTGGAAGTCCACACAGCTCATACTAGACTGGGCAATATGCAATTTTAACCTGGGACAGAACGTGGGCTCTGGAGTCAGACTCTGGCACCTGCCAGGTGGATGAACCTGAGCAAGGTATTTAGTCTCTCTGGGCCTCAGTTTCCTCCTAGGAAAGGTGTCTTGCACACGTCAAGAGCTCAATAGACCTTAGCTGATATTATTGCTTGCTGACAATTTCATCTTCCAAAGAGCAGAGGAAGTAATAAGGGGAACTGCCACTCTGAACCTAAATTTGGCCAAAAGGAGGAATTGGTTGGCAGAGTGGAAGTGACAGGAACCTTGGGAAAGAGCAACTATGTCTTCTTAAAGTTTGAGAAATGCTAGGATACTGTTAAATGTGTTCCCCAGATTTTAACAATTAAAAGAATTGTTTTTCCATTTCCATGGCTTGAAACTTGAGAAAGATGCTCAAGAATTTGGTATCTTCTTAAGAACATCTCCTTTTACCTGTGAAATCTCAAATCAATGAAAAAGGAGAAGGGACTTAAAGAGATCGCACAGTTATATTATATATGTTTGCTTATTTGATTGTAAGAGAAAGTAAGCCTTAGATGGACAGGGCAGAGCAGAAACAATGATGAGCTCAAGAAGGTGGAACAACTGCCTAATGTGCTTTTGAGAAAGTGAAAGCCTCTCGTGAATTGAGGCCTGTAAAGTGCTTCATAAAGTCATATTCGAAGCAAAAAAAGGATACGATATTTGTGGTCAATGTTGTCATGTTGGTGGGTGACAGAGAGAAAGAGGAACTCAATTTGTATTTTGCTTCTGTTTTCTGTGTCACAGGGAATGTTCTTAGAACAGAAAGGCCCAGAGAAGAAGTTTATCCGAGGTGAAAGGGAAAATTGTAAAAGACACTCCCAGTGTTTCTCTATGAATTCCAAGAATCTAACCAGACAAATTACTTTCCAGAGTATCAGGAGACTTCCAGTTGAATTATCCTTAAGGCATTGTCTAAATGACAAACCTCTGGAGACAGACACTTATTACAATTTTCAAAACAGTGA